GGTTCTAGGTCATATTCTGTTCCTGATCTATACATCTGAAGTACTAAAAATAATAGAATCATTTGGTTTTTCAGGTCATGCTTTTGCGGACGACTTGCAAATTATTGTTACGAGCAGGCCAGATTCTTTTAAATTAGAATTGGACAAACTGGTTAAATGTTTGTCTGGGGTCAATAAGTGGATGCAAAACAATGGTTTAAAACTAAACCAAAACAAGACTGTTTTTTTACCAATTGGAACATGGCAGCAACTTTCAAGAATAGATATAAATTCAATAACTGTTAATGATGAGGTCATCGCATTTTGTCAGACAGCAGCTAATCTGGGCTTCACGATTGATTCAGGTTTGTCAATGAAACAACACATTAAGAAGCTCTCAGCCGAATGCATGTTTCAAATCAGGAAAATCAATCAAATTCGACGATCCCTAGATACATCCACGTTGCAGACGTTGGTTCATGCATTTGTGCACTCACGCGTCAACTATTGCAATAGTTTGTTTTATGACTTACCTGATCGATCCATGGCTGTACTTCAATCAATACAAAATCGAGCCGCAAAAGTTGTTGTTGGAGCTCTAAAATACGATCATGTGTCTCCAATACTGAAGGAACTTCATTGGCTAACCGTCGAAAAAAGAGTGTTGTTCAAAATTTCAACAATTGTCTACAGGTCTATCAACGGTCTAGCTCCATCTTATTTGTCTGACAGGTTCAAAAAGAGATCTTCAAAAGCATCTGGAACACACTTGAGATCCGATGTTTCAAACCTGCTGTTGATCCCAACAACGAGTCTCCGTATAGGCTCTCGTAACATTGCTGTTTCTGGACCAAATGTTTGGAACAACTTGCCTGCAGCTCTCAGAAATCCGGACCTAAACCTGCGTGATTTCAAAAAGAAACTGAAAACTCATTTATTTTCATTGTAATGCATAACTGATCGATTCATCTGTTGAGTCGACATGTTCTAAATATTATTTCGTATTTTCGTTATATTGAATCGATTACTTTTCTGTTTATGATCAAATTTTAATCTTATTTCTGTGCGATGTATTATGATTCCTCGTTTGTTATTTCAATTATGTTGTTAAGTTCAGTTTTTGTTAGATAGCGCTTTTGAGATTCCTTTAATTAGCGCTTCATAAATGTTTCAATAATAATAATAATATATAACCGTATATAACATAATATAACTATATATATTTGAAAACACTACATAACTATATATAAATCTATATAATCAATAACTCTAAATAACTATATATAAGACTATATAACCGTATATATCACAGTATAACTATATATAATTAATAACTTTACATAACTATATATAAGACCATATAACCGTATATAACATAATATAAATATATATAGTTAATAACACTAAAAAACAATATATAAATCTATATAACCTTCCAACTACAACTAAACTAAACTGGTTTTTCTACTCGTCTCAGTGGCTCTTAACTATTAACTAACTCTTAACTTAACTATCTTAACTTAAGTTTTAGGATCGTCACAAACAATAAATAAATCTATATAACCGTATATAACACTATATGACCATATATATTAAATAAAGCTACAAAATTATATATAAACCTAGATAACCGTATATAACACTATATAACTATATATAAATAATTATAACCGTATATATCATTATATAACTATATATAATCAATAACTCTACGTAACTATATATAAGACTATATAACCGTATATAACCGTATAAATTAATATAACCGTATATAACACTATATAACTATATATAAATCTTTATAACCGTATATATCACTATATAAATATATATAATCAAAAACTCTAAATAACTATATATAAATCAATATAACCGTATATATCACTTTATAACTATATATAATCAATAACTCAACATAACTATATATAAAACTATACAACCGTATATAACATAATATAACTATATATAATTAAAAACACTACAAAACTATATATAAATCTATATAATCAATAATTCGACATAATTATATATAAACCTAGATAACCGTATATAACACTTTAGAACTATATATAACTCTTTATAACAGTATACATCACTATATAAATATAAATAATCAAAAACTCTACATAACTATATATAAATCAATATAACCGTATATATCACTGTATAACTATATATAATCAATAACTTTTCATAATTATATATAAGACTATTTAACCGTATATAACCTAATATAACTATATATAATTAAAAACACTACATAACTATATACAAATCTGTATAATCAATAACTCTACATAACTATATATAAGACAATATAACCGTATATAACATAATATAACTATATATAGTTAATAACACTAAAAAACAATAAATAAATCTATATAACCTTCGAACTACAACTAAACTAAACTGGTTTTTCTACTCGTCTCAGTGGCTCTTAACTATTAAGCCCTAAGCGCTTAATTTTTAGGATCGTCACAAACAATATATAAATCTATATAACCGTATATAACACTATATGACCATATATATTAAATAACGCTACATAATTATATATAAACCTAGATATCCGTATATAACACTATATAACTATATATAAATCTTAATAACCGTATATATCACTATGTAAATATATATAATCAAAAACTCTACATAACTATATATAAATCAATATAACCGTATATATCACTGTATAACTGAATATAATCAATAACTCTACATAACTA